TATAAAATGGGATAATAATAGTATCAACCTCATAGGGCCCTTGAAAGGAATCGCTAAGGTAATGAATGCTCAGAACAGGACAGCATACAGAAGGCCCTAAATTAATGCTTGGTCTCTTGCACTCATCCCAAATATAAATCCAGGAGGTTGGGATCATATAAGGATAAGAAAACCCAAAGCTTAGAGCAGTTGGCTCAAGATTGGGTAGCAAGGGGACCCCAGCCAGATCCCACTGTGCGGTGCAGTGACAGGTAGCAGGCAGGGAGACCACCGGAGCCTTGCAGCCCAGAGGGAGCTGAGCCACTTCTGCTAGCTCCATCCTCCCTAACATTCCATTGGCCTGGCCTGCCCAGGCCAGTCTGAATGGTCATCACCTGATGCCACCCACGGGTCAAATCTCTGGCCCCAGCCTTCACAAGTGCGGTCCTTGGAAGCCCCTCCCCCCACAATAAGGGTACCAGGTTCTTTACATTGTTTTATTGTTCCTGGGGTGAAGATAAAGCCTAGGCATGAGAGAATCAGCGTGTTAAGGTTAGAAACTGGGAGACCGGGTGAGGGGGCACGGAGACCACCACCTTCGCCAACCCCCCTCTCTGCAGATGAGCAAATGCAGGGGCGAGGCGGGACACGGCAGGAGCCTCGGCCCGGGCCTGGGCCTGCGACAAGAGGGCTCTCAGAGCTTAGAAAAAGTGACGCTTTTCATATCCTTTTTCTCCATGGTGGCCTGTACGGACTTGACGATGTCCTCGGTTTGCAGCATGCTCATGTTCCAGGACGCCTGCGAACAGGGGTGGGCGATGATCAGCAATGCGCCAATCAGAGAAGGCGAGGGGGGACCTGAGCCCTCATTGGTCGCCCTGGACGAGAGGAAGGCTGTGATTGGCCGGAGGGTCGCCTTACCACGTAGTTGAGGCTCTCGTCCACCGAATGGTCCCGGGAGTAGAGCAGGTTGACCTTGGTGCTCTGCACCGCCACCGGGCTCTTGCTGGCAATCTCGGCAGCCAGCGTGAAGGCGGCATCGAGCATGACCTCCTTGTCCGGGAACACCCGGCTGCGATGACAGGGATTGGGGAGCAGGGGTCAGGCAGTCTGTGAGGGGCTGTCTCCCCTGCCTCCCACATATGAAAACGTGGCCAAGACCCCAGGAAAACGGCGCAATCGGAGCAGGGTGCTGACTTCCGGATAAAAAATGCCCACTCCAATCTCGCCACTTGGAATCTCGAGCGAGGAGACAAGGGGACCCGGAGAGCCCCACCCAGGCCTGGCTGCCCCTGAGCACTTAACCACCGGTGGCCTCGGCCCCTACCTGACCAGCCCGCTGCCCAGGGCCTCATCAGCCATCATCTTGCGGGCGGTGAAGGCCAGCTCGTTGACCAGGCTGCAACGGCAGGGAGGGCGCATCAGCAGGCGGCCCCCAGCCCCGGCCTGGGAGATGCCCTGTGGTCCCCTCCCTCTGGGGTCCCCCGCCCGACCGCATCCTGACCCACCTCTGGTTCCCGATGATCTTGGGCAGCCGCTGCAGAGTTCCTACATCGGCAGCCAAACCCACGTCCACCTCCTGGGGGGAGCAATCGTGGCAGTGCTCGGATTCCGCCCAGTATGGCTCCCACACAACCTCCCGTCCGTGACATCCTGCACTTACTGCAGGGGTCCCACCCCCCACCTCGGTGACTCCCTCCAAACAGCCCATTCCATTCCCACCAACATGCCCTTACCCAGGCGAGTTCCTTCGGCCTAGGACAGAGCCCGCCTCCAACTCCTCTGCCCTCCCACCGCTCCAGCATCAGCTGGGCCTCTCCCCACCCACAGCTTTACTCTCTCATGACCTCCGCTCATGACCTCGCTGGCACTACCTACCCTCAACATCCTCCATGGCCGAGTCTTACTTTGTCAGGTTCAACTCTGACTACCCCTTCCAGGAAGCCCTCGGGGCTCACTCCAGGGCCCCACCCCCCTGCCCTGGGCAGGAGCTTGGGAGGATGACTCACCTTCACCTGGAAGAAAGCATCCTGGGCACAATACCGGATGTCACAGGCGGTGATGAGGTCCACGCCTGGGAGATAGAGGCCAGGGACGTTGAACAACCACAAGAACCAACCCCTCTTCCCGGGACGTGGGGCTGCATCTGGGGACCTGGTCTGACCAGCAGCAGAGCCGGGGCTGGGGGCCAGGGCGGAGGCAGCGGGAGGAGCAGGGCTTCAGACTCACCTCCGCCAATGCAGCCCCCATGGACGGCAGCAATCACGGGCTTGGGGCACTGAAAGGCAACAGCAGGGGCGGGGTCAGGCTGGCCTCGGAGAGGTGGGCAGAGGGGATGCCCTCCAGCCCTCCAGAGTCACCTTCTCGATGGCGCTGAAGGTTTCCTGGCATCGGGTGATGAGGTCACGGAGCTGCCAGCTGATTCGGGCCACATCGTCCCCTTGGGGTTGCAGGAGGTCTGAAGCCATGTCCACGAGGTCTATACCTGGTGAGGAGGCATGAGGGGGCTCACCTCGCCTCCCAGGCTCCACCCACTGCCCCAACCAGGGGTTAGAACCTAGGTGCAGAGACTTCAAACCCCCAAACCACCAAGGCGGAGAAAGCAGGACATAGCAAGGGATTGCCCGGGGGTGTGCAACAAGTAAAAGCTGACATTCATCGAGTCATTACTCAGTGATCCCCACAAGACCCTACGAGGTAGGTCCTAGTACTACTTCCGTATTGCGATGGGTAAACTGAGGCACGGCGAGATTAAGGATTCGCCCAGGGCCACGCTGGCTTGTCAGTAGTGGAACTTGGATTTCAAACCCCAAGCCACGCAGCTGGCTCCAGGGGCCACGCTTGTCCCCATCATGCCAGACAGCGTGGGACTCAAGGTTTGTGGCATGAGCAATCGAGGCGCTGGTGGTGATGTTGCCTGAGGTGGGAAGACTGGGATGGAGCGATTTCTGTGGCCCCAACTTCAAGACAATCCTGAATCTCACCTTTCCCCACCAGCCACTGTCCATGACCCCACCCTGCTCCCACCCCGCCCCCATGGTGTGTTCCCCACACGGAGACCCTGTGAACGCCCGTTGGGTCAGGGCCCCCCATTCTTGCCTTGCGTTGCATTTGCTTAGAATGAAATGCCAAGTCCTTGCCACCACCTTACCTGCCTGGACATCGCTCCCAACCCGCTCCTCTGGGCACACCGGTCTCCAACAGTTCCCATGGTACGGCATCTTCCCTTCCCAGGCCTCTCTGCCTACAACCGTCCCATCCCTCCCCTTCAGTGGCCACAGACTGACTCCAGCGCTTCCTTCAGGCCACAGCTCCAAGGCCACATCCTCAGAGAGGTCCCCCGCCAGCTCAACAGCGCCTGTCCCCCTCTGTCGCCTGCTTGGCGTGGCCCATCTCCTGACTTGCACATCTTGCTGTGGTACGATCACGCCCTTATCTGGCTGAGGGCCTGTCTCCCTTTCTAGAATGTGAGCTCCATGGACACAGGAGGTTTTGTCTTTTGGTCCACTGCTGTGTCCCCCGTGCCTACAACAGGGCCTGGCGCACACAGCTGCTCAATAAGTCAATGACACAGACAACAATCCCCACGCCCACTGGGAGACAAACACATGAATTAGAAAATACATGTTTTCTAGGCCGGGCGCGGTGGCTCACGCCTGTAATCCTAGCTCTCTGGGAGGCCGAGGCGGGTGGATCCTTTGAGCTCAGGAGTTCGAGACCACCCTGAGCAAGAGCGAGACCCCGTCTCTACTAAAAATAGAAATTAATCGGACAACTAAAAATATACAGAAAAAATTAGCCGGGCATGGTGGCGCATGCCTGTAGTCCCAGCTAC